AATTTAGTGATAGTAATTTCATTCATAGCAAATCGGTGTTTTACGATTATTTTACGTACTCTATTCTATCATCCATTTGTTTTGTCGATTAGATTTTAAAAAACACTAACATAAAACCAAAATTTTTAATGTGCTTGCACCAGAACATGCGAACAAGATAATGTAAAATTTTTGTTCCCTTATCTGTCTAATTCAATTGTGCAGTAATAAAACATAAAATGCAATTAGGATACTCGAATGCAATGTTTGCTACAAACCGATAACACCAAAAAGAAACCTAAAGTGTCTAATACATTAATACTTATCTAAAATATATAATAACTAACTCAACACTTCAGACAACTGAAAAACGTATAGACATTTTGCACTTATAATAGCCTATTAATTAATTAATTATATAGATATACCTACCTAGACAACTACGTAAGATAAGTAGATGAAAAATCAATTATTTCAAATTGCCAATCAATAAAAATAATCTACTAATGGATTCTCTAGTCTCATAGTCTCTCTGATTTACATACTACCCGTTACGCTATTTTCATAAAAAAAAATCTTGATGAAAAATATAATTAATAGACTTTTCTGTACAAAAATGTAGATGTACCAGTTGAACCCGGCTGGACGAATGAGTACCTATATCGATGGTGCACCACAACCTATCTTAACCTAACCTGAACCCTGAACCAATCAGGAAATCATCTAACCCTAACCTAACGTAAGCCCAAGGTGCATTGTACTTCAGGGTACCTCCATATATAGGGTGGCCCAAAAAGGACACAAAATAATCATTGCGGCCAAACTGAGTTTAATTGAAAAACGTTTCAAACGAAACTTACCCCCTATTTTAATACATGATGATCTGTATCATCCCAATTTGTGTTCAAAAATAGAAAAAATAAATGGCAGCCATGTGCAATATGGGCCCAATCGAAAAAAATTGTTCAGAATGCCAAAATAGGGGGCTATGCAAAAAATTGCGGTGATATTCAAATATATTTTTTTCTATTATTGTGCTTGGTAATTCTACGTCGATTTATTGTTTTATTTTAGTTAAATACAGCTTAAATATGGTTAATTATTTTTCTTCAGTAGGTGTAAATTTGCATTCCCTTCAATTACTTTCAGAAAATAGGATCTCGAGAGAAGATAAATCTACACAAATTATCATTACAATACTACACATACGCAAAACAATAAGTACGTAGATCATTAGTATATTGTGACAATAAAGTGAAGCAAAATACGTAATGACTGACCCTGGGGCCCAGACTCATCCCATACATATTACTTTTCAATAGTAACATTAGCACATCACATTACACCTTTTCCAAGGTCGCAAACATTCATAGTTTGTACCAATTTTAATTTTGTATGGTTACTAAAAAAATATTTTGATTTTACAATTCCTTCATATTAGCCAAATAAAAAAAGTTACAGTATCCTTAGACCCTCTACCCACAGAGTGAAACTTATACTCAAAAAGTTTTTCTCACTTACTACTATGAGCCGTACCTAAGAGGGGATACAGGAAATGAAATTCATTCCCCTGAAGATTAAGATTAAATTTATTGTAAACCGATATCACACGCCCCCAAGAAACAAAATTAAAATGAAAAAGGTGTTTCGAGATAGACCTCCTAAAGTGCAACAAAAAATGTTCAAGGGCTTTAAATTTTCCGTATGGGTACTTTAAATTTCATTCATTAAGAAAAACCAGAACCTTATAAATTAGTACACCGGCATGGTAGTTAAACGGTTTTTGTTAAAAAAAAATGTAACCATCAAGGTTGTTCATACGTATACTTAAAACGGGTTGACTTAAATATTGCCTATAATTTTCATTCACCAATGTGATGACGATTGTCCTTAATAAATCAATACGAAATATTAATTGTAAGATTTACCGGGAAAACATTTATTGCGTAATTTATCAAGGAATCAGATTCACTCACACAGAAAAAAAAATAAGAAAAGAAATTTAAATTTTTGAGTACCTTCGTCCAAATTCGTAAGTAATTTATAGAGATGTATGATAAATACAGTAATTATAACAGTAACGAAAACACAACTATGGCAATAAAAGGTAAGGTCACTAAAAATGTAGTCAAGGTATTCAGTTCTTACTATATTATGTTACTCATAAACTAATAAGAAAAATGGGAAAAAGTATATAAAAAAATGTGTACCTATGTACTATGTATCTTTAGAAACATTTCGCAACTAAACTGGTTTAATGTTTGATTGGAAATAAGAACATAGGCAGCATTTTTTATTTTCGTCGTCTTGGCCTACTTTTGGAACTATTAACAAACAAAAAAAATTTCATTGAAACAGTTCCGATAAAAAAAAAGAAAAAATTGCCTGCTTTTTTCCTATATTTGTTTAAAACAATTGACGTGATTTACTCATGTAATTTACAGATGCAAACGTCCACCATAAAGGTCTATTCTAAATATTGGTCAAAAAAAATCGAAATCCAATGAGTGAAATGGGATTACCTCCTAATCCATATTTACAAACTTTACCTCTCTATAATATCAGTACCTACAGATTATTTTGTACATAGCTTTTATTTTTCAATTCTTTCATGAAATTGATGAGTGTAAAAATTATCAGAATACACTCATTTGAGAATAACGATGACTGTTATTAGATATTAAAATAATTAATTGGAAAACAAAAATCCTGACTTCAGAGATATTAATGAAAAACATAAATATTGCCTCCCCCAGAGTGAATTGCCACTCCAACTGAAGGCAAATTAACCGGAAGCGCCTATACGATTTCTAACCATACCCAGCTTAAAAATCGCAATTACTGTTCATTAAGAAAGTATTTTAACAAACCATGGGTGGAAATTGTCACCCTAGGTCAAGGAGATATTTAGAAATAAAGTGTCTACTAACAAAATTTTAGTTGCTCACTTGCCCATCCCGTTATATATTGTCCCGCCCCGAAAAAATACGGATGGAATAAAAACAATGCAAAAGAATGGACAACCGCTCCCTAGTCCGACTCTGGCAGGCAAAGAACGGTACGGTCAAGTTAGCGCGTCGCCGATCAACTAGGCCATTATCATCTTGTCGAACCCTAGACTCCATAGAATATAATAATTTTGAAAATCTATACGATAATATTATAAAATATTGTCTATTTTGATTCATTAAATAGATGTTGGAACTCTCCAATGTTCGCCCTCTCTTGATTAATGGGATGGACTCAAATGGCCCTGTTTATCTTTATTTTATTTTACTTTTCTTTTATCAATAATGCAACCACTACACTTTAACAGAACCACTGATTTCGGACACGGTGAATGTGTCATCCCTACATGTAAATTAAACTAATAAAATAATATCTTATACAGCACATGACGGTCTGACGATATCGTTCGCGCCGTATCATGTATCAATGTTTTACTCGTAACAGAACTGGAAACAGGCGACTGGAGTTGATAATTTACCACTTGGTAAGAAAAACAAGCTTCTATTATCTATTATCGGTTCAAAAAGTAAACTATCAAACCCCACGAAGACATACAGTATAAAATCGGAGAACCTCTACCTGTTACCGACTCAAGAGGTAAAGTATCAACCCCCAAAATGGCATTGGGTATAAAATCGAAGAACTCTACCTGTTATCGATTCAAGAAGTAAATTATCAACCCCAAAAAGACATGCGGCATAAAATCGGAAAATTCATACTGTTATCGGTTCAAGAGGTAAACCATCAACCCTCATTAAGGCATGGTGTATAAAATCGGAGAACTCTGCCTGTTATCGATTCAAGAGGTAAACTATCAAGCCCCAAAATGGCATGCGGCATAATATCGGAAAATTCAAACTGTTACCGGTTCAAGAGGTAAACTATCAACCGCCAAAATTGCATGGGATATAAAATAGGATTACTCTATCTGTTGTCGATTGAAGAGGTACCTGAACTATCAATCCTCAAAAACACATGTCACATAAAATAGGAAAACTACCTGTTACTGGTTCAAGAGGTAAACTATCAAGCCCCAAAATGGCATGGGGTATAAAATCGGAAAATTCAAACTGTTACCGGTTCAAGAGGTAAACCATCAACCCTCATTAAGGCATGGTGTATAAATCGGAGAACTCTACCTGTTATCGATTCAAGAGGTAAACTATGAACCCCCAAAAAGACATGCGGCATAATATCGGAAAATTCAAACTGTTACCGGTTCAAGAAGTAAACTATCAACCGCCAAAATTGCATGGTGTATAAAATAGGAGAACTCTATCTGTTGTCGATTGAAGAGGTACTTGAACTATCAATCCTCAAAAACACATGCCACATAAAATAGGAAAACTACCTGTTACTGGTTCAAGAGGTAAACTATCAACCCCCAAAAGACATGCGGCATAAAATCGGAAAATTCAAATGGGGTATAATATAAGAGTACTGTACCTGCTATCGGCACAGGAGATAAACAATCAACCCTAATAAAGGCATGCAGTATAAAATTGGATAATACATGTTACGGGCTCAAGAAGCAAACTATCAACCCTCAAAAAGGTATGTGGTAATAATCGAAGAATTCTACCTGTTGACTGGTTCCTAGTATATAAAGCTCAAGTTACTTGCTAACAATAAATCAATTTTTTTCGACGTCAAGTAGATATCGACAGTTGCCCCTTGCCCCATTTTTAATGAACCATTGTACATGAACTGTGCACATACTTAACAAGCATATGTTCAGAAAATTGTGAATTAGCTGCAGGTCCAAAGTTCAACCTATCAATTCAAAGGCATCGATCAACACGGACGCATGCAATAAAACTATTGTTTCGTCAGATGATCTTTATTGCGAAATGTTTGACAGCAAGGGGCAATCAATGGAAAATTTTCGAAAGGGTAATATGAAATCGACTTATTGTTATGTAGTGTGTGTCTGTAATTGAGGGGCCGGTCGTCTACAGATGGTTTAGGTATATGTACGTTTCTACGTAGTTTTATAGAAGTGTAGAACTTACAGAAGTGTTGCACAAGGTTATTTAAACAAAAATTCCTATTAACCGGTCTGCCGGTTGTTGCTGCAGGTCGAGAAAGACGAAGGCATCGCCACATCACGTCACGAGGTGCATACGGGAGGTGTGTCACGTGCAATCTCCGTTCTATGTATAAACTATAAATCAGCATGACTTGGCGAAGGAGGTGTGTCGTGACGTAGCGCATAACTGAGAAACCCGTCAAAATGCCGTTCACTACAACAACATTACACATACTACATACATACGTAGGCTAAAATATGTATATTCATGATAAGTCCTCGTCTTATACATCGATATTTCTTAATAAATACAATAGTCACTCAAACTTTACACTTTACTAATGCCACATCAAAGTTCAAACACGCCCCATGAATTAAATTTAATTTGTTTTCCGGAATCATGAACTTAATCTGTTTATCTACGAACAGGTGTACGTAAATGTAGAAATCCACTTAAAACATGCAAAATTTTATCTTATCTTTTTAAAAGTATACACCTACTTCGATAACAACACACAACCTACGTCTGTTTTCGTACAGCTAATATTTGAACACCATAAAAAAGCAACAATTAAGTCCTTACATACCAGACATTTTTTAAAGAATGAATTTCACAATCATGGAATAATATAATACAAAAAAGTTTTAAGTGCCAACATACCTGTATATGCGTTCATAAATGTACCAATGAAAAGGGTATTTTCTTTCTTTTATGTTGTAAAAATTTTATAATTAAAAAAAAGGTAAAGTTGCCTTTTCTTGATTTTGCTGACAAAGAGATAATTACCTACTTAGGGTCTTCTTGCGATGTGGTAGCAAATTGTTTAATAGATTGATCATTCAGCATTTTAAAATCCAACATTAAAAAGTTTATGCAATCGAATTAAAAAGGTATGCGATAACATTTAAAATATGATGTAGATATCTATGTATATCCCAGAACAAAACATTATTTGTACCTTATGTACTATACACTTTACTGTCTACTGTACTACATACGTATGTAGAAATGTACATGTGTTTTGAATTTGTGCACAAAACTTACCGGATGTTACTTAAAATTATGAAATCGGAATATAACATTAAACAATATATTTCTTTCTAATTTATTCATTTGACTTTGACCAAAAGTAATACTTTTCTAAATTGAAGTATCTTAAAAATTTGAAATTAGAATTTGAATATATGTGTATGTACAATGTACATAGAAGGTACGTGTAGTACGGAGTTATACCTACATATGTGTGTACAAAAAACTTTCACTTATTTACAACATTACGCAAATTAGTATATACTTTTGTTGATAGTTACTGATTTTAATTTCTACGTGCAACGATGCAAAAACAAATTCTACAAAATTAATGTGACGTATTGCCTGGTTAGAGAAACACGGTGTCAAGGACCCTAATCGTTTTTAACAATAGAATACCTAGTTTAAATGTTATACCTACCTAGTGAAAAGCCGAAGAATGTATAAGTGTTGAGTCAATCTTACAATTAGGCAAACTCTGAAAACTACATTTTACGATAATTTTGAACGAGAACAACCTAAAGTTACCATAAAACCAAATTATTTATTTCGGGATTAATAATAACAAACAATAATTTCTTATTAAATAATTAGGTAAATATTTACTATAGGGACGCACCTCCACTTTTTTTTTTCATTTTAGTATGTAGTACAATTCAGCCTGCTCATCAAGAAAATACATATCTGTACGAATATGTTAAGGGTGGAAACCATTCTTTCGCGAAGTACGTTTTCGAGGTTTAAAAATAAAAATAAATACCTAACCAAATACGACCCATACAGCTAATCAAATCAATCAATAAATAAAAAAAAACATCTACACATCAACGGCTGCAGTCATTGTAACCTTATGATCTCAATCGATCAGATTAGGTTGGGTTAGGTTACTTACTTTTTCAAACCTGTACATCATATCTACCATAATTTTCAGAAAATCGATGTGACCCTTAAAATAAACAGTTACAAAAACTTTTTTAGGGACATTCTGGGATCCAGGGAATTCTTCCCCTTCAAACCTAGCCTCAGGGAAGTTACTACTAAAGATGTCGTGGCAAATAGCGAAACATTTGAAAAAAGTTTACTCTGATGTACAATGTAAAAATTAATATCGACCGTGTAAGAACAACAAGATCGATTGGATTACAACTGTCAATTTAAGTAATTATTTGTAAACTTTTGAAGTTATGTATATGCATATTGTTTGGTTTTATTAAAATAAAAGAAAAAAACATTGTATTTGATGTCTACATAATGTGCGTATGTATGTAAGGAGTAGTGGTCTATTATTATTCTGTCGTTTCAAATTAAATGTTGCTGCACGCTGAAATTAATTGATAGCAAACCGATTGAACTGGATTAAGTTGACGTAAATATCAAATAAAGCATTTATTGTGTATTGGCGACTGAATTCTATCAGAGTTCATTTCAATTGTAAAGTCACGGTGAACATACATAAGTAGTAACAACCACAAGGTCTCAGTGACGTCAAAGTCGGGCCTCTTGGTGGTTGCTGCTGATTGGCTGACAACACACACACCTTCGTTCACTCTCCCCCCTCACGTCTCCGGGTGTAAATTTCTTCGATAACGAACGTATTGCATCATAACAACTGAACATACTATTAGGGAAATATAACGAAAATAGCACGTTTTTGATTGGAGTTGACAAAACAAAAACGCTTTTTTGACGGAAACAATGGCACGTAGCCGCAAACTAACAACATACATAATTTTAACTGCCATGCAGCTAGATTAATAATATAGATATCTAAATTAGGGCAAATCATATAAATTCTCTCGTGCATCATCGTTAACATTTGAAAGGCATACATAACGTATGTATATAAAAAGATTCGTCGATCGCTATGTATTAGGCGGTTGACGGTTTGAGCTGTTCGCCTTTGACGGTAACCAGCGGCGTCTACATACAGATATATAGAGGTAAGGCATGTGTCTACCGGCAAAGTTAGTGGAAATTTCCATCAGATCTTGAAATAAGCAACAACGACAAAAGAATGCCAATTTACTTTTTACATGCATGTAGTTATAATAAGATCGGTTTGTACACGTTTTGAAGATAAAATCGGGCGCTCTCGTAGCTCATCGTCGATCATCAGTCGCAAAAATAACAGAACCTCCTAAATTTAGACAGGTGCACATTTTACATATTTACATAGGTACTTACAATTACCTCAAAGAATATTCCCGAACGCTTGTTCTCTCTCTCTCTCTCTCTCTCGTTCTCTTTTATGTACAAACCGTTCATATAGGAATTTTACCAGACTCTTTTATCTTATCATTGGATAACATATGTACACATAGAACCCAGTTCAACTCAAAAATTAATTTGCAATTTTTCAGTCAACCTAACAGAAATAATTTTAAACAAGTATACCTATCGCAAAAAAATTACAAAAGCGATGATAGAAGACATTAAGTTTTGAAAGTACAAACATAACATACCTACCCGGAAATAAACTGATGAAAAATTAGGTATTCTGAAGATAGGCATACACATGAATGTCAACATATTTATTAAGTATTTGCTATTTACTAGTGGGCACTCAGATAGGTACATATACATACGTCAATCTATCGTGTTCCAAAAATAAATCATTCGGACTAAAATTAAGTCGCGTGTATTCAATTCAAAGTCGCCACCGCTTTGCGGACGGAAAAAAAGAACGCAAATTAAAAGGGTTTTACAAAACCCTGAAAATAAAATTCTATATCACAAGTAATACCTATTGAACGCGTCTCCCCCACCAAAATATTACTGCAGAACACAGGTACCTATATATACATGTATTGTACGTCGCTTTTTACTTAGTTGAATGACTGGTTATAGCGTTTGGTCGTGTCGCGTTTTTTTATAACTTCTATTGCACGTACTACAAAATAATAGAAAAATGTACAATTTCAAAAGTGACATGTCCCACAAGGACCCTCAATATGTTGTCGAAGTGAAAAATAGAAACCCCTACCGTACTGATCCATGGATAACCTGGAATATTCCGTTCTGGAAATTTAAAGAAAGCGAAAGATGGGTAAGCATTTTTTATCAGTCAACTTCTTTTCCTGTTTTGTCACTGATTTTTATCGCGCACCCGGTTTATTCAATATAACTACATACATATGTAGGTGTACATATTATATCGCAACAAATAACCCGTAACCAAAAACAAACATAACCGGGAAGTTATCAAAAAACATCAAAACAAACAATAATGCGATATTAACTTTTGAAAATATCAACATTTTTATTGAAATTTGTTAAGCATTCTAGTGACAAATCGGTCAACTACTCAACATCGGACTCCGATTTCTAAGCGAAGACCGCGAACGACTAATTAGTATTACAAACAATGACTAGGTGGCGGTGGCTGTAAATGCACCAGGTCCGGCTTAAAAAGAATTATTGTTCAGGAATAGAAAATATAAAACAAAACCATATTAAATATTAATATTAAAATAAATAACTTTTGTTGATTCCTTAGTGAAACACTCGTGAAACATTTTCCATATTAGAAGGAATTAAAATTAAAAGCCTTCAATTAGGTATCTACTAAAATAAAATACTCAAACACCAATACAAAATAATATTATTTAAATATGCATAAAATTGATACGTACATTCAATTTTATGTCACTAGAAAATGCACTTAACT